GGTCGCGGCCGCGTCAGAGGCAGGGCGGGGCCGCGTCGGACGAACCTGTGGTTTTTGGTGGGGTGAGGTGGGGTGGGGTGGGGTGCAGTGGGGTGGGGTGCGGTGGGGTGGGGTGGGAAGGAAGGGAAGCACTTGAGGCTTGTTACGGGCCATTATGAATAGGAGGGCAATCACCTGGTAAAATGCATATTTTCTGGCGAGGTGGGTTGGGGGGATGGGGAGGGGAAATGGACTTGGGAATGTGATAGTTCGTTAGAACCAGCCATGGCTGGACACTGTATCAAGGCGAGGAACCTGAGGGTTGTGTTCTGGTGCTGAAGGGTGGGGGTTGCGGAGGGGAGGGAGAGTACTTGAGGCACGTGGCGGCGAGGTTGACGTTGTAACGAGGCGGCTTCTGACTGAGAGGATCTTCGGCTCGCGGTGGGGAGGGGTTGGGAGGAGAGACACCTCAACAGAATGTGGTACTGAGGCTTCTAACTTTAGACATTTCTCAGGCACTTCAATGAGTCAATTATTAGGCACCACAAAAGACAGAGCGGGGCACAAACCTTTCTAACCACCTCTTTCTTGGTATTCTCTCTGATGACGAAAAAAGCTGTTCGTCGATGTACTGCTTTCTTGTTATTTTCGGCGATGGCGAATTTCGCCAACTCCAGCGCGTTCGCATCCGTCGCCGCGCCTCTCACGGCGGTCGCTTTTGAGAATTCTAAAAAGCGGATGATGACGAGAGAAGAAGTTCGTTGACGTACCGCTTTCTTGTTTTGCTCGCCGATGGCGAATTTCGCCAACTCCAGCGCGTCGCTATCCCGTCGCCGCGTTCTCCACGGCGGTCCAGCATCCCAAAAATTCAACCGCTGAAATCGGTTTGAAATTGCGGGATACCTTGGGGTATCGCTCCCTACGTTACCCCATAGTTGCCTTGAAGATGCCAACAGGAAACATTTGGGGAACAACGACGCGAGCGAAATTCGTCACCAAATCGTTTACAATCAAGAATAGGTTCTCGACGAATCAGGATGCAGCGAAATTTGACGTCACCTCAAGGAAACCCCTCGTGCTTCGGAACGAGGCTGGTCAGCTGGTTTGCTTGCACTGTTTCTGATAGAAGGAGAACGAGGATGGAGTTAGATGCTAGGTTTAACTAGGGCCTAGGCTTAGGAGCCTAGGCCCAAGGAGGATGTCGAGTGAGTTGTGCCAAGGGAAAGGTGTCGAGAAAGTTGGGAAGAATTGGTTGCACTATAGGTTTCAAGGAACATATAGCATAGGAAACAAAGAAGGTGCACCACCAAACTAAGCTTATAATAACTACACTAACTACAGCTACAGGCAGTTACAAATATAAGTTCTGACACTCCCCCATAACTGCCTGCAGGAGGAGTTTGTGCAGAATACAACCTGCAGGTGTACACATGCAAAATAATAAACAAGCAACAGCAGGAACTGCAGGCGGGCTGACACTAGCTGGTCACCCACTCCATCTCCTCACCCTCCTCCTTCCCCTCCCCCACACTGCTGCAGGAGCAGCAGAGAGGGGGGGAAGAGAGGAGAGGTGGAGGGACGGCTGCTGGTTGCCTCACACCCGCCACCCCGGTGCCACTCCCCCTTCTCCCCCACACCCTCACACCCTCCCCCCTAGCGGCAGCTGCAGCAGTGGGAACGAAAGGAGGAGGAGGGGAAGGGAAGGAAACGACCCAAAGCTCCAACACCCACCACCCCCCATACCCTCCTCCCCACGGCTGCAGGGAAACAAAGGAGGAGGGGTGGGCGGGAAGAAAGCCGCAGAGCGGCTACATTGTGTCGGCGCAGGTAGGTCAGGGGCGGCTGCAGGGAGAGCAGGTGCGGAGAGGGCCCGTCGCGTGCCACGGGGCGCACGACGGGCAAGTTTAAGTTTAGGGCCCGGTCGTGTGCCTCGGGGCGCACGACGAGCAGGGCACCGTCGCGTGCCACGGGGCGCACGACGGGCAGGTTTAGGGCACCGTCGCGTGCCACGGGGCGCGCGACGGGCAGAGAAGGAGTCACTCGCCAACCGGGGGCGGGACAAGAGAAAATCGCCACGCGCCCTAGGCGCGCGACCGAGAAAAATAGCAGGCGGAAGCATATTGGCGGGCCCACAGGCCAGGACGTAAAACGCTCTGATAGCATGATAGAAGGAGAACGAGGATGGAGTTAGATGCTAGGTTTAACTAGGGCCTAGGCTTAGGAGCCTAGGCCCAAGGAGGATGTCGAGTGAGTTGTGCCAAGGGAAAGGTGTCGAGAAAGTTGGGAAGAATTGGTTGCACTATAGGTTTCAAGGAACATATAGCATAGGAAACAAAGAAGGTGCACCACCAAACTAAGCTTATAATAACTACACTAACTACAGCTACAGGCAGTTACAAATATAAGTTCTGACAGTTTCAACAACCGAAGCTGAAACCCAAGCAAGTTCAGGTAAGTCAGTTATAACAACGGCAATGCTCATTATACAGCCACTTATAACGAGCCTCCCCATATCAAGGTATAATGTGATGGGTTTCGCAGGGAGGCAGGCAGAATATTGCAGACCAATCACAGCTCTCCTTGTCACTACAGCAAGAGAGTTCAATCGCCAAGTACTTTACCGCCCTTCTTTGAGCGTGCTCTCATTCTTCTTTGTCCATCAAGCTATCTCTCCCACTCCATTTCTCCCGCGCTATGTCTCCTTAGCTCCGCGATAGTCGCCACATGCCGCATTACTTCCATAAAGAGATTAGGTTCCTTATGTTTTCGCTGTTTCACCAGCTACGTCTTGGAATTTTCCGTGTTGCCGAGATTTAATGACGTGTTTATTTGATTATTGCGTCTACATGGCAGATTACGAGTGGTTGGATCGATGCATGAATCTCGCCAACATCACGACTACTCTTCTCTTAATAGTTATCGTGAGGTGGGCTATTATACTTAATTTTCCAGGGAATGCTGTCCGAGGTTTCAATGTTCAGCGCCGTTAATCCAGTGTGGCTTCTTGTCATCGTTCTGATTGTCATAGGCGCTGTACTATTTGTCAGCCACCCGGCTGGTACTGGCTTTCTCCTCATCATGATATTTCTTTCATTGCATTTTTTTGCCATTGCACCATGCTTGTGCAGACTCAACCCTTTTTCCTCGTGGGAAGATAGTCGTCGTTAAGGGACAGATGTGGTGTGGCGACATGGTAATGTTTCCCTGTTCGTGTGGTTTCTTGATGTGGTCTTATCACTTGCTGGCATTTCTCTGCTTGTTTAATTCGTGACCTTGTTGTGACAGGCAATCTTTTTTTACCATATTTTGAAGTTGTATTATACCTTGGAGAAATGTGGGTTTGTTGCAGTGCTATTTGTAGTTGCGTGCCTTCAATGGCATTCGTTACCATCTGGTGTTGCTCAGAGTATGCATTTTTTTATGATCCCTGTAATGCTCATTTTTATGTGCAACGAACTGTACTATAAACAGCTTAAACATCGATGTGTTAAAATGCTTATACGGACGCCTGTGGAATTATGTCGAAACGGATGGTTCTTTTATTGTTTAACGAATAAAAAATGTCACGATCAAAGTGTACTACCAGAGTGTACTATTTAATTTATTGTACGCGGCGCGCACGAAGGTAGCGTGTGATTCGCTCCTCAAACCTGGGAGCGGAAACCTTGCGGCGACTTGTAGGTTACAGTGTGGGTAACCACGAGGTCACAACGCGCTGTCGAGGTTACCCACAGGTATCCTATACTGAATCCTTTGGGTTACCCACAGCGAGGTAACCTAGAGGAAACCTTGGGGTAGGTTTTTGAGAGCCCAATTTTTGGGATGAGTCGCCGCCAGTAGGCGGAGTTTGCGCAGCAGCGCACGGAAACGAGGAGAGGAGAGAAGCGACGACGACGAAGATAGTAGCTGCTACGGCAAGCACAGCGTGCTTAAAGTTTAGGTCGTGACTGGCGATGCGCGGACCCACGATTGGTCGTTGCTCAGGGATGCCGGGGTAGATTGAGCGGTCTGATCGATTTGGAATCAGTAGGCTATTAGAGAAGCAGATCACTCCCGTGCTATGGTAAGGTTATACTGCAAAATATCTGCTATGGGTTGAGTCACCCCAGCCGTTAATTCTCCGTCATTTATACTGCATAATATCCGCCACCATACCGCTTGACTGTGAGCGGACTTATTGGCCGGGTCACGGGCGCTACGTGGGAAAGCGGGGAAGCCCTGTCTCGCTAGAGCCATAGTTCTGGTTTGACTTAGCTTATGCGCGCAAATAGCGGCTCGCCAGCATAAGAAAACACATTCGTGGAGCGAGTTTGCGAACGCGCAAAACCGCAATTGATTGGCTGCTACGCGCAAGTGCTGGCTAGCAAACGTTCGATTGCGAACGCGCAAAACAGCAGATGATAGGCCACTGATTCTACCTTCGCTGTGTGAACAAACTTGTAAAACGATCTCCCAAGTCCGAGGGCGTATTCAAAAGAAAAACAAGAACACCTAAACGACAATTGCCCCACCCCAAGCACTTGCGTGTAGAATACAATTTCCAAGAACTTGCCGAACTCTCACTCTTTTCGTTTTTTTTTTTTTTCGTTCGGAATGTGTGAGAAAATTGTGCGAACCTCTGGTGAGTGAAATCTGTGTCTTCCTAAGGAATGAGTAAAACTTCGTTAGAAGGTTCGGAAATGATTTGCTGGTGAGGATATTTCGTTGCGAGTTCTGTAGACCCAGATCCCAAACCGATGTCGTGCCTGCAGAGAACAAGGCCGAAAGAACCTCCATCGATGCTTCCCTAATTTCTCCACCACAGATTTCAAACTGGTCTGACTGACCTAGCTTCCCGAGTCGCGACCAATCCATATTCGTAAACCCTGGCAGATCACGTCGCCTCGCCACGAGAATCGTCGGCGTCGTCGGATTAGGAATCGGCTTGGGTGCAACAGGCAGAAGACTTCGAATAGACGAGGGAGTAGGGGACATCTAGAGCGCCTTGAAAGGCGACAAGGGAGAGAAGGGGGGAAGGAGCCATGGCGCAGATGGTTCCGCTTGATAACTCCCTCATAGATCTCGCCTCCCTCAGGTAATGCTTCCTTAGCCTCCCTCAGGTATGGCCTCCCTCAGGTATGGCCTCCCTCAGGTAATGCCTCCCTCAGGTACTGCCTCCCTCAGGTACTGCCTCCCTCAGGTACTGCCTCCCTGATGTGCTGCCTCACACTGCCCCCACCTCAGGTAAAACTGCGCGAACAGCTGCATCAGTTAAGGTGCTGTCCGCCCCCTCCGCAGGTACCTCCTCCAACAAGGTACTATCCGCCCTCAGTTATTGCCGCCTGTCTGTCTGTGCCCTTTCCTCCACCCCCCCCCCCCCTCCCCCCCCCCACACGCCCTTCCCATACCACACTCGCAGGAGACTCCCCTCTGCACCGAGGTGACTTTTGAGTCGACTCAAATGTCACTCTGTCTGTGCAGTTCCCCGCACGCACACGCCCTTCCCATACCACACTCGCAGACTCCTCTCTGCACCCCTCCCATACCGCTCCCTCTCTGCCCCTCCCATACCCCTCCCTCTGCACCCCTCTCATATTCTTCCCTCTCTGCCCCTCCCATACCCCTCCCGCCATGCTTCTGTCTGTGTGACCACCCTTCTCCCTTATGCGTCCTCCCCAATCCCCCAACCCCCCACCCCCACCCCACCCTTCCCCACCCTCCCTCACCCTTCCCCACCCTTCCCCACCCTCCCTCACCCTTCCCCACCCTTCCCCACCCTCCCTCACCCTTCCCCACCCTTCCCCACCCTCCCCCTCGTGTGCCTCCTGCGAGCAGAGCACATGCCAGTCAACGCCTCGTTGACGCCCTTGACTCTGTGAGTTGACCTGCGTTGACTGGTCTGACTCCTTGCTGATCAACATTCTTCATTCCTACCATCTCCAGTTGTCCCATCTTTTAGTTAGCCTTTCCTACCCTTCCTCAAATCTGGCTCTAGCTCAATTTAATTCTGTTCATCTGTGTCTAGTATCATTACCCATCCCATCCCATCCCATCCCATCCCATCTCATCCCATCCCATCCCATCCCATCCCACCAGGTGCCAGGCGGCAAGGCTCTAGTGCTGGACGCGTCAATCAGCGGCCCGCTCGCCTTCATTGCTCCCATTGCCCTCCTCAAGGTGAGCTGCGTAAGCCCAGTCATTTCAGCTTTGCCTCTCTCTCTCTTCCCAGACCATTCCCCCACCCCACTTTCCTACTCCGTTCCCTCACTCCACTTCCCCACTCTGTTGTGCTACTTCATTTCCCCACTCTTCCCCCAATCTATTCGCTCATTCCACACGTCTTCCCACTCTCCTCCTCCCTGCTGCACTTCTTCCCCTCGTTACAGGAACACGGAGTCGAAAACCTCTTCCACATCAGCGCCGAGCCCATCCAATCACAGTGCTCCACGATCCTCTACCTGCTGCGCCCCAATCCGCTTCTCATTCGCTGGATCACACGCCAGGTACAATAACCTCTTGGTATCCTACTGCATTCTATTAGTACCGCTTGGTACCGTCCTCTATCTCCTGCGCCCCAACCCGTTTCTCATTCGCTGGATCACACGGCAGGTACGAGGTACTACCACTTGGTATGTTACCACATTCAATTGGTACCTATTGCTACCGCACTCTACCCTCCCCTTCCACCCTTGCACCCTTTTCTCCCATCCTCCCGTCCTATCTCCTCCCTTCCAATGCCACGCTCCGACAGGTGTGTGCAGACGAGGGCCTGCTCACTGTGCGTGTGTAGGCCCTTCAACCTTCTATATTGGTGTGGCTTTTGAGAATTCTCAAAAGTCACGGTGCTTGTGTAGGCCCTTCAACCTTCTTCTTCCCGTTCTACATCTGTGCTCCTCCCCTCTCCATGCCGTCAACCCCACCAGGTGCGGGCAGACGAGGACGAGGGCGTCACCGGCAGCTACTCACTCCACTCGCTCCTCCTGTCTCCCCTTCTCTCTATCTGTCTGTCTCCCATCCTCTTGTCCTGTCTCCTCCCCTTCCTACCAGGTGCGGGCAGATGAGGACGAGGGCGTCACCCGCAGCTACTCACTCCAGTCACTCTTTTTGTCTCCCCTTCTTGCTCCTTCTCTCCCATCCTCCCGTCCTGTCTTCCTCCTCTTCCCATGTCATCAACCACATCAGGTGCGGGCAGACGAGGACGAGGGCGTCACCCGCAGCTACTCACTTCACTTTATTCCCAGATGCGATGCGATCTGCAACAGGGTACGGACCAGAACTGAACAGAGTGTGTGTGTTTGCGGGGGAAGGGGAGGGATTGGGGTTTGTGCTTACGAATGTGTGTGTGTGTGTGCGCGCGCGCGCGCGTGCGTGTGTGTGTCTTTCTGCGTGTATGTCTGCATGTGTGTGCGTGTGTGTGTGTGTGTGTGAGTGTGTGTGTGTGTGTGTGTGTGTGTGTGTATGTGAGCGCATGTGTGCGTGCATGAGTGCATACGTGCACATGTGTGGGTGTGTTGGTGTGCCTGTAACATTTTTGTCAGCTGTGCTTGCACACTTCGCCCAGCTGAAGCAACAAGAGACAAGTAAACGCCCTTATCTGTACATGCGTGCCTGCTTCCGAGGCTCCTCAGTAGTCGTATTTTCACGCGCTGCCTCAAGAGTGTGTCTTTTCTGACCTACGTCTTCTCTTTTCACACCACACATCTCCATTTTGATGCGCTTCAAGATTGTTGCCCCCCACACCACACATGTGCTGCAGATTCTGGAGCAGGAGGGACTAGTGGGCGACCCGCGGGTGGCAGTGGGCGAGTATCCCCTCGAGATGATCCCCGTGGACCATGACCTCCTCGCACTCGACCTCCATACCATCTATAAGGTGATTCCTGTACCCGCTATAAGGTGATTCCTGTACCCGTTATAAGGAGATTCTGGAGCAGGAGGGGCTGGTGGGCGACCCGCGGGTGGCAGTGGGCGAGTATCCCCTCGAGATCATCCCCGTGGATCATGACCTGCTGGCCCTCGACCTCCATACCCTCTATAAGGTGATTCCCGTACCCTCTATAAGGTGATTCCTGTAACCTTTATAAGGTGATTCCTGTACCCGTTATAAGGTGATCCTGTACCCGTTATTAGGTGATTCTGGAGCAGGAGGGGCTGGTGGGCGACCCGCGGGTGGCAGTGGGCGAGTATCCCCTCGAGATGATCCCCTTGGACCATGACCTCCTGGCCCTCGACCTCCATACCCTCTATAAGGTGATTCCTGTACCCGTTATAAGGTGATTCCTTTACCCCTTATGAGGTTATTCCTGTGCTCGTTATAAGGTGAGGTTATTTCGAACTGCATCAATCCTAACCAGGACGTACACGTTGATTCAGACCCCTCACCGCTGCTTTACTCTTCTCTCACATTTCCATCGCCCTCCCTCCCCCCCTCCTCTCTTCATCCACCCACCCCCTGCCCAGCCGATCCAATTCAGGACGTGCACGTGAATCCAGCCCCCTCCTCTCCTCTACCTTTCTCTCACCTTTCCATACTTCTCGCCATCCCTCCTCTCCCCTCATCCCCCGCCCCCGTGCCACTCCATTCCTGCTTTGAACTGCACCAATCCAATCCAGGGGTGCATGTGGATTCACCACCCCACCACTGCTTTACCTTACTCTCACCTTTCCATTTTCATCCCCCTGTCCCCCCCTCCCCTCCCCTGGCTGATCCAATCCAGGATGTACACGTGGACTCAGACCCCACCTCCACGTTGCAAGTGGCCCGAGTGCTGGCAAATTTCCAGGTAATTTTCAGATGACGATCTCAGCCGTTGAAGGTGACGATCTCAGCCATTGATGTTGATAATCCCAGCGATGCCAGCTCATTGTGGCTGTGGGAACTCCTGTATTCATGGCCGGGATGCCAAATGATGTGCTACCATTCCCGATGCCTCTCGCATGATTCCTGTGCTTCTCTTGATTGATCACTGCTTTTCATCCTCTCGATTTTAAGTAATTTTCCTCGCCCTGTCTCCCACGGCCTACAGTCAGTGTTTGGAGTGCCACCGGTGCTGAAGGGCAAGGGCGTGGCAGCACAGCGAGTGGCGCAGGCCATGAGGGCACAGAAGTCAGATGTTTACTCCTTGCTGTTCCCTGCGTGCGTGTGTCTCACCCGCTCGCCACCCCTTACAGTCCGTGTTTGGCGTGCCACCAGTGCTGAAGGGCAAGGGCGTGGCAGCGCAGCGAGTGGCGCAGGCCATGAGGGCACATAAATCAGATGTTTACTCCTTGCTGTTCCCTGCGTGCGTGTGTCTCACCCGCTCGCCACCCCCTACAGTCCGTGTTTGGAGTGCCCCCGGTGTTGAAGGGCAAGGGAGTGGCAGCACAGCGAGTGGCACAGGCCATGAGTCAACTCATGAAAGAACAGAAGTCCCACGTGGCACCGGTAGGCCTGCTGCCCTATGATTGTCGCCTCATGCTCTGCAGTCTGTGTTTGGCGTGCCACCGGTGCTGAAGGGCAAGGGAGTGGCAGCACAGCGAGTGGCACAGGCCATGGGTCAACTCATGAAGGAGCAGAAGTCACACATGGCACTGGTAGGAGCGATAGGAGCAGAAATCTCACGTGCTGCTGATAGGCCAGTTCATTCTTTAGACGTATTGAAAAGCAGGCCAAGAGTCAACCAATGAAGGAGCAGAAGTCTCACATGAGCCGCCGAACAACTTACTGGAGTGTGGAATGTCTTGTTGTTCGGTGGAACGATGTGGTGTGGTGTGGTGTGGTGTGGTGTGGTGTGGTGTGGTGCGGTGGGGTGCGGTGTGGTGGGGTGCGGTGTTGAACGGTGTGGAGCGGTGGTTGCAGGTGGAGCATCCAAGCGTGGACATGATGGTGCTGATAGACAGACAGGTGGACATGGTGACGCCAGCATGCACTCAACTCACATACGAAGGGCTTCTCGATGAGGTCAGCATGCCTTCACAGATGACGTCAGCATGTTTTGTTAAATGGCATCAGCATGTTCTGATGTCCATCCCCCTCTCTGCCTTCTAGTCATCGCTCCCCGTTCCCCCCCCACCTCTCCCCCACCTAGCTCCTGCACTGCACGTAGCAAACGGGGCAGTGGAGGTGGATCCAGCAGTCATGGGGAATCGCCTTGTCATGGGGAGAAGTTAACACGCCTCTTCTGCGATTTACTTCTCAATCTCGGTGTCCCATCGATTCATCTCACATCTCTCCTCTCCCCCTCCTTGCACGCAGCTCCTGCACGTAGCCAACGGAGCAGTGGAGGTGGATCCGGCAGTGATGGGGGTGACGTCTAACGCCAGGAAGATTAAAGTGCCTCTCAACTCCAAGTGAGACAGGGAGTGAGGGGCTATGGACTGAAAGTGTGAGATTGTGGAATAGACGAGATGAGTATTTGGGTAATCCCCTAACGCTGGAGGGCTGTCTGATTTTGGGATAGAATAGCGAGAAGGCGTGACTCGTGAGGGTAAGAAAAGCATGTTATATGCCTGTATTGATGCTCCATGCTGAGGAAATCATGGAGATAATGGTGAAAAGAGAATGGAAATTCCTTGCGCCTTTGCTTTGTGTGCTTCAGTCCTTCTCTGCTCCTTCTGTGAGTCAGCTCTACTGTTCTTGAGCAAGTTGTGAAAGCTTAAATCCTTCATATTATATTGCCCTCCTCGCCCTCCTCACCTCACCCGTCTCTTTGCAGTGACAAGCTGTTTCAGGACCTTAGAGGCCGCAACTTTGGATCAGCAGCAGAGGTGAGGTGCTTCACATTGTATCACATCGCATAGCACCACATCACATCACATTACATCACATCACATCACATCACATCACATCACATCACATCACATCACATCACATCACATCACATCACATCACATCACATCACATCACATCACATCACATCACATCACACCACACCACATCACACCACACCACACCACACCACACCACACCACATCACACCACACCACACCGCACCGCACCGCCACCGCACCGCACCGCACCGCATCGCGTCGCGTCGCGTCACATCACATCACATCACATCACATCACACCACATCACACCACACCACATCACACCACATCACGTCACATCACATCACATCATTCGAAGAGAACAAGTGTTCCTTCGCATTCCCCTGTTCCCCCTTTCTTGCCCTTTTCGTTCAGCTGCTGCGAGCCAAGGCAGTGGAGATGAAGTCAGAGTATGCCAACCTCAGGCAGCGACCTCTTTTAGGCGCCTGAACCTCAAAGATACAACCACTTAGCGTCCGTCTGCTCCCTGTTCCTTCCTTCCCCTCAGCTGCTGCGAGCCAAGGCAGTGGAGATGAAGTCAGAGTATGCCAACCTCAGGCAGCGGCCGCAGAGAGATGCATCGCCTCTGCGCTCCGCTGCTGCACCGGGTGACCAGGGAGCTGCCTCCGCTGCTGGCTCTGGTGGTGGAGAGCAGGTGAGGATGATCTTCTACACCTGTTGCCCCTGTTGCATCTGTTGCCCCTGTTGCATCTGTTGCAGTCAGACAGTGTTCTCCTCTTTTCCTGAGCCGAAGGATTTTGTCAAGAAACACTGTTCTCCTCTGTTCCTCGTTCCCTACTTATGTCTCACCACATGTTGCACTTGCTACATCTGTTGCTCGCAGACGGTATCAGAGCTCAAGGACTTTGTCAAGAAACTCAACGTGCTGCCAGAGCTTACGGTGAGATGATGCTGCATCTGTTGCTCGCAGACGGTATACTTATATCTCACCACATGTCTCACCACATGTCTCACCACATGTCTCACCTGCTGCATCTGTCTCAAGGACTTTGTCACGAAACTCAACGTTCTGCCAGAGCTTACAATGAGATGATTCGTCATTCCTTGAAGCATTTGCTTTTCCAGAGTAGAAGATTTATTGTTCGCAACACTGTGTGCGAGGTTCTGTCCACACCACCTTCCAGTATGTATGCAGAGTCTATTGCAGTAAGATGATTCGCCATTTTTAGGCGCATTAAAAATCACCTCAAAGTCTTTTACAGTGAGATGAATCGTCATTCCTTGAAGCCTTTGCTTACTTTTACTCTGCGGACCTGATCCTATCACTTTCTTCCTTCCTCTATACTGGTGTGACTTTTGAGAATTCTCAAAAGTCGCACTTTTACTCTGCGGAACTGATCATATCAATTTCTTCCTTCCTCTGCTTTACCTTTTTTCCCCTTCCCTGTCTCCTTCTTCCCATCTCCCATCTCCCCCTACCTCCCCCTTCCCCCCACGTAGCGCCACACCAACCTAGCGCAGCACATATTGCAGGTCACCAACCGGCCGGCCTTTGGCGCTCTCATCTCGGGGAAGTAGAACCGAGTTTTGAGTCGACTCAGAACTCGACTCATTACACACTCTCATCTCGGGGAAGTAGAATTGCGAATGAACACTTGCCTTTTCCCCTGCCCAAACAACCCACTTTCCCCTTTTCTCCTCTCCTTCTCCCCGCTTTCCCTCTTTGTAACACCCATCGCTTCCCATCCCCCACCAGCGCCACACCAACCTAGCAGGGCACATATCACAGGTCACCAACCGGCCGGCCTTTGGCGCTCTCATCTCCACAGAGCAAACCATCCTGGAAGCACGGTCTATAGACTCGTACGTCGCGAATGAGTGTCTTGGTATGTCTTGCTTCCCTATGTGTCATATGGTACTTGACGTGAGTGCCGTGCTGCTGTCCCTCCGTCCCATGTTAACTCTGATCTGATCTGTGCGGATTTATGCCCGAATGTGTCTGTGACTGCAGGGCGTGTGAGTACATAGAGGACGCCATGTCACAGGGGCATCCCATGAGCACAGTGTTACGCCTCCTCTCCCTTGTCTCCCTCACCAATGGCGGCATTCCCAAGGCACGCTTCGACCACCTCAGGTACACCGTGTGTGAAAGCTGAGCTTTTGTGCTACTTTTTAGAACCTCTCTTATGTCTTGCTGCTTCCACTCACACCGCAACGCCCCATTGCATCCCATCCCATCCCATCCCATCCCATCCCATCCCATCCCATCCCATCCCATCCCATCCCATCCCATCCCATCCCATCGCATCCCATCCCATCCCATCCCATCCCATCCCATCGCATCGCATCGCATTCCCATCCCTCCCATCCCATCCCATCCCATCGCATCCCATCCCATCCCATCCCATCCCATCGCATCCCATCCATCCCATCCCATCCCATCCATCCCATCCCATCCCATCCCATCCCATCCATCCCATCCCATCCCATCCCATCCATCCCATCCCATCCCATCCCATCCCATCCCATCCCATCCCATCCCATCCCATCCCATCCCATCCCATCCCATCCCATCCCATCCCATCCCATCCCATCCCATCCCATCCCATCCCATCCCATCCCATCCCATCCCATCCCATCCCATCCCATCGCATCCCATCCCATCCCATCCCATCCCATCCCATCGCATCGCATCGCATCCCATCCCCTCCCATCCCATCCCATCGCATCCCATCCCATCCCATCCCATCCCATCGCATCCCATCCCATCCCATCCCATCCCATCCCATCCCATCGCATCCCATCCCATCCCATCCCATCCCATCCCATCCCATCCCATCCCATCCCATCCCATCCCATCCCATCCCATCCCATCCCATCCCATCCCATCCCATCCCATCCCCTCCCCTCCCCTCCCATCCCATCACACCTAATCAGGCGGGAGTTCCTTCAAGCATACGGTTTCCTTCACGTATTTTCTCTTGACAATTTTGAGCGCGCGGGCTTGATCAAACGCCAGGTGGGTACCAGGCAGGTGGGTACCAGGCAGGTGGGTACCAGGCAGGTGGGGTTTTGAATTACTGAAGCATAAATAACCTCATGGTGCTCTTCTCTCGTGGAATTTTGAAGCGTCTTGAAACTCACGCCGACATGACATGCTGTGTGCTACAAGGACCCCATGTTGTGCGCACGGGAGGTTGGCTTTTGAGTCGATTCAAAAGTCAACTCAGAAGTCAGCCCTGTTTCGCTTGTTGTGCTGTGCGTGCAGGAGGGGCGCAGCACGTGGGCTGCAGTGAAGCGAAGCCTGAGGCTGATAATGGATGACTGTTGAGCGTCCCCCCTTTCGCTTCCCTTATCCTGCTGCTGCAGGAGGGTCGCAGCACGTGGGCGGCAGTGAAGCGAAGCCTGAGGCTCATAGTCGATGACGATGATGATGCCAAGTGAGAGAGAGCGGTGGTGAGGGGTGGTGTGGGTGGTGTGGGGTGGTGTTGGGTGGTGTGGGCTGGTTCTGTGTGGTGATGGTGATGGTGATGGTGATGGTGATGGTGATGGTGATGATAATAAGGGAGCAAGGGTGATAACAAAGTCTATTCAAGTCCACAGGGTTCACAACTGCACATCTTCCCCTCTCCTCTTCCTTCTCTTAGTTCCTCACCCTCGCCCTCTCAATCTCTCGCTCCTTGTTTCTACCTCACTAACTCTTCTTCCTCACCCGCCCTCTCCTGTGCCTTCCATCCAGCCCCAGGGACATTGCATTCATATTCTCCGGCTATGCCGCTGCCTTTTGTGTCACCTCGAAGTCAGCTAGTTTCAAATTAACATCCCTGCACATCCCTGCACATCCCTGCACATCCCTCCACATCCCTGCACATCCCTGCACATCCCTCCACATCCCTGCACATCCCTCCACATCCCTGCACATCCCTCCACATCCCTGCACATCCCTCCACATCCCTGCACATCCCTCCACATCCCTGCACATCCCTCCACATCCCTCTCTTCTCCCATGCCTCCCAACCAGTCCCAGGGACATTGCGTTCACGTTCTCCGGCTATGCCCCTCTAAGTGTGCGGCTCCTGCAACAGGCCATCCAACCAGGAGGCTGGTGAGTCACCGTACAGCCTCGTGGCTCCTCTCTCCACCTTGCTCCACCTCGCGCCACCTCTCTCCACCTCATTTACCCTCACTCTCTTACATATGCCCCTCTAAGTGTGCGCCTCCTGCAACAGGCCATCCAACCAGGAGGCTGGTGAGTCACCATACAGTCCTCGTTGATACAGTGAGGCTGGTACAGTCCTCATTGATTTTATCATTTCGTATTTCCTCTTGAGTCGACTCAAAAGTCACCCCATCCAACCTGGAGGCTGGTGAGTCACCCTACAGTCCTCATTGACTTTTGATTCTATCATTTCGTATTTTCTCCTTCATTGATTCTACCATCTTCTCTTTAGTCCCAGATTTGTTTTAATTCTTGCCTCTCCCCCGTAATGGTTTTTGTGCATTCCAGGAGAGTGATGGACGAAGTGACAAAGACTGCCACAGGACCAACTTTTGAGTGGGAGCAGGTAATTCTACATTAGGACTCATAATTCAAACAATGATTAGGATATGTCATTCCATGCAATGGCGAGAAACCAAGTGAAAACCATGAGGTTGCAGTGAGAGATTATGCATAAGTTTAGTTTTGAGGCGCCTCAAGACTAAACCATCAGGTTGCAGTGAGAGTTCTGCATAAGTTTAGTTTTGAGGCGCCTCAAAACTAAACCATGAGGTTGCAGTGACAGTTTCTGCATAAGTGGCTTGCTTTTACTGTTGCTCTTGTGCCCTCGTATAGTGGTTTTCTCGACATTCCTTCCTCGTCTGCTGCTCCTCCTCTCTCCCACCACCCACCTTCAGTCTCCTGATGGCACCACCCATCGGGACATCACCAACCGGACCCCATCCTCCGAGTCCGAGCCTCCCCTCGTGGCCGCTGTGTTCCTGAGCCTTCTCAACAATACACAATACACGTTGCACAAGCCTGTCCTTTATTTTCCTCTCTCTCACCACCCACCTTCAGTCCCCTGACGGCACCACCCATCGGGACGTCACCAACCGAACCCCATCCTTCGAGTCCGTGCCTCCCCTCGTGGCGGCTGTGTTCCTGAGCCTTCTCAACGATACACAATACACGTTGCACAAGCCTGTCCTTTCTTTTCCTCTCTCTCACCACCCACCACCAGTCCCCTGACGGCACCACCCATCGGGACGTCACCAACCGGGCCCCTTCCGCCATGCGAAGGGGACCTTCAGATCCCTTCCGCGCCTGGTAGCAGCTGTGTTCCTGGGTCCTCTCACTGACACATAATACACAACCCTCTTCCCCACAACCCACCACCAGTCCCCTGACGGCACCACCCATCGGGACGTCACCAACCGGACCCCTTCCGCCATGCGCAGAGGGCCATCTGAGTCGGTGCCTCGCCTCGTGGCTGCTGTGTTCCTGGGGGGCGTCACCTTCGCTGAGATCGCTGCTCTGCGGTTTCTCTCCATGCAGGTGTGTGTGCACGTGTGTGTGCGTAAGCCTAAGATATGGGGGGGGGGGGGGGGGGGTGGGACATCAGAGTCCGTGCCTCGTCTGGTGGCTGCTGTGTTCCTGGGGGGCGTCACCTTCGCTGAGATCGCTGCTCTGCGCTTCCTCTCCATGCAGGTGGGTATGTGTGTGAGTGTGTTCCCCCGCCTCATTGTTTCCTTTTGAGAATTCTCAAAGCGACACAGGCTGTGTTCCTGGGGGGCGTCACCTTCGCTGAGATCGCTGCTCTGCGGTTCCTCTCCATGCAGGTGCGTGTATGGGTGAGTGTGAGCTGGTGTGTGTGTCTGTGTGCAGGTGGGTGTATGGGTGTGCGTGTGCGTGTACGTGTGCTCGTGCGGTATCTGTTGCCAGCCTCGTCGCTGCTGTGTTCCTGGGGGGCGTCACCTTTGCTGAGATTGCTGCTCTGCGCTTCCTCTCCATGCAGGTGTGTGCCTGCGTGTGTGTCTGCGTGTGTGTGTGTGTTGAGCTAGCAAGGCCCCTTGAGTCCTCAGGAAGCTCAAGATATGGCTGGGGGCTATCGGAAGTTGTACCTCGCCTTGTGGCTGCTGTCTTCCTGGGGGGCTGTCACCTTCGCTGAGATCGCTGCTCTACGCTTCCTCTCCATGCAGGTGCGTGCCTGTATGCATGGATGTGTTTGTGCGGGCGTACTAGCATGTGTGTGTGCATGTGTGCACCTTGAGTTCTGAATATTCCCCAGACACACTTAGCTGGTTGGGCGGCTCTGCTGCTACCTTTACATAGGCTGATGCTTCTCCGTACTTCCGCATTTCCTGCTAGATGAGTCTCTGGAAGCAGTCGTTTTTCAATCGAGTAATCTGTTGCCGTGCGAGCGAGGTTCACTCTCTTGTGGATTTTTCCGTGTTTTGTTTCGCTGGCGCTCTCTCCCTACAGGTGCAGGCTGGAGGAATGCTATAAATGTTTGTAATACCCCTGGGTTCCCACTCCCATGCTCCGTACTTGCCTGATCTTCACCTCTCCCTCTTGCGTGTACAAAGTGTACATACCCTAAACCCTAAACCCTAAACCCTAAACCCTAAACCCTAAACCCTAAACCCTAAACCCTAAACCCATAGTGCAATGATGATAAAAAGAACGCAGCACCTTTGCTGACAATAGAAACTGTCTGAGCACCGACGCCTTATAAAGCCTTCGTCCAAGCTTGGGTCGCACCTTCCTTCTTGCTATCCCATGACGATATCCATAGAATAGGCTTGGCCGGACTTTGTTGTTGTAACATATGCTTGATATTATCAATGGAGAGTGCAGATTTATGGTAGGTAGGATGCTCCCGAATTGCCTTTGGATAATAAGGAGTTGCATGTACGACATGTGTCAGAAACCTTGTAGTTGCAGCAAGACCTTCGGGATTGCCTGACAAGCGCGTGATAGGTAACATGCCGACAGGATAGGCACAAAGAGTATACCCCTGTAAGCGCCTTGCCACGTAGATTCCATATAATGTCTTTTGAAAAGCACCTGACAAGAAATTGATCAACATTGGTCGAGTTGAAGATCCTGGTAGAATCCATGGCGGCCTTGGTTGTGTCAAAATACTAAGCACCTAAGAAGCTAGGTTTAGGCTTAGGAGGCATGGGAGCCATGCTAGGGTTGAGTGTCGAGAGAGTTTAGGCAAGGAAAATCAAGAAGGAAGAATTGGTTTCACTATTGAGCAAGGTACAAGATATAGGAAAGAGAAAGCCACATGGTACACCACCTACAACAAGTGAGATACACTACAGTCTACACTACAGACAGTTATAAAGTATAAATAAATATATTCTAACACACTCCCTAACTACCTGTAGTGAAGAACCTTGTGCACAACACCCCCTGAAGGGGTACACCAGGAGCAGCGGAGGAAGGAGAGGGCAAGTGAAGAGGAGGAGGGACCATGAGAGGAGAGGAGGTGGTGGGTGGCGGATGAAGCTGCTGCACACGGGCAGCTGGAGCAACTGGCACACTGGCAAATGGAGCAACTGGCACACGGGCAACTGGAGTAACTGGCTCCGCGGCTAAGCGAGCGGCTAGAGCAACTGACTCACGGGCTACAGGAGCAACGGGCTCACGGGCAACTGGCACAACGGTCTCACGGGCGACTGAAGCTGCTGGCTTCACGTCGTACACCCCCCTTCAACTTCCCCCATTTTCCCAACCCTTTCACACCCCTCAGCACCCCTACCGCCACTCCCTCATCTCCCCCACACCCTCCCCCCCCACCACAGCGGTATGTGCAGCAGTGGGAGAGAGAGGAGGAGAGGCGGCAGCAGTTCACTCACACCCGCCACCCCCATACCCTCCCCCCCACTGCTGCACCCGCTGCAGGGGGATGGAGAAGAAGGGGGGGGCGGAGGGGGCTGGAGCTGCAGATCCCCTCCCCCCCACTGCTGCACTCGCAGCAGGGGGATGGAGGAGAAGGGGGGAGCGGGGGGGGGCTGGTGCAGCAGATCCCCCCCCCCCCCGCTGCTGCACCCGCAACAGGGGGATGGAGGAGAAGGGGGGGCGGGGGGGGCTGGTGCTGCAGATCCCTTCCTGCCACCCCCTTAACCTCCATGCTCCCCCCCCCTTCTCCCGACACAGCGACAAGTGCGGCAGGGAGAGAGAGGAGGAGGTGGTGGGCGGCTGACTACTCACACCCGCCACCCCCATACCCTCCCCCCCACTGATGCACGCGCAGCAGGGGGGTGGAGGAGAAAGGGGGGCGGGGGGGTGGTGTAGAAGCTGCTCGGGCGTCAGCAGGGCACGCGACGGGCAGGAACCCGTCGTGCGCCACACCTGCCACCCCCATACCCTCCCCCCAACTGCTGCACGCACAGCAGGGGAATGGAGAAGAAGGGGGTGGGGGGGCGGGCGGTGTAGGAGCCGCGCGGGCGACAGCAGGGCGAGCGACGGGCAGGAAACCGTCGTTCGTCACCCCCGCTACCCCCATACCCTCCCCCCCTTGCTGCACGATTAGCAGGGGGATGGAGGAGAAAGGGGGGTAGTGGGAACGGTGTAGAAGCTGCTCGGGCGACAGCAGGGCGCGCGACGGGCAGGAAACCGTCATGCGCCCCGCCCGCCACCCCCATACCCCCCCCCTCTGCTGCACGATCAGCAGGGGGATGGAGGAGAAGGGGGGGGTGGGGGGGCGGTGTAGGGGCTGCCGGGGCGACAGCAGGTCGCACGATGAGCAGGAAACCGTCGTGCGACACAGGCGCACGACCGGCAGAAAACCGACGGGCGCCCGGGGCGCCCGGCGGGCAAAAAATCGACGCGCGCCCGGGGCGCACGACGGGCAGAAAACCGTATGGTTTGGAGGTATATATGAGTTCTACTAAGAGTAAGTGCGTTACTTAGCGATATGAGTGATACTAAGAGTAAGTGCGTTACTTAGCCATATGAGTGGTACCAAAAGTGAAGACATTACTTAGCCTTACAAGCGTTACTAAGAGAAACTGAGTTACTTAGCTGCATGAGTGGGACAAAGAGTAAGGGTGTTACTTAGCCATATGAGTGGTAGTGAGAGTAAGTGTATTACTTAGCCATATGAGTGGTACTAGGAGTAAGTGTGTTATGCGATATGAGTGGTACAAAGAGTAAGTGCGTTACTTAGCCATATTAGTGGTACTGAAAGAAAGTGCGTTATTTAGCAGTATGAATGGTACTAAGAATACGTGCGTTACTTAGCCATATGAGTAAGTGCATTACTTAGCCATATACTAAGATTAAGTGCGTTACTTAGCAATATGACTGGTACTAAGAATAGGTGTGTTACTTAGTGCTATGAGTGGTATTAAGAGTAAGTGCGTTACTTAGCCATATGAGTGGTACTAAGAGTAAGTGCGTTATTGAGCCGTATTAGTGGTACTAAGAGTAAGTGCGTTACTTTGCCATATGAGTAGTACTAAGAGTACATGCGTTATTTAGCGATACCAGTAGTACTAAAAATAAGTGCCTTACTTAGCCATATGAGTGGTATTAAGAGTAAGGGCGTTACTTAGCCAAATGAGTGGTACTAAGAGTAAGTGCGTTACTTAGGAATATGAGTGGTACTAAGAGTAGGTGCGTTACTTAGCCATATGAGTAGTACTAAGAGTAAGTGCGTTACTTAGCCATATGAGTGGTACCAAGAGTAAGTGCGCTACTCGGCATATGAGTGGTACTAAGCGTAAGTGTGTTACTTAGCAATATAAGTGGTACTAAGAATATCTTCGTTTCTTAGCCGTATGAGTGGTACTAAGAGTAGCCATATGATTTGTACTAAGAGTAAGGACGTTACTTAGCCATATCAGTGATTCTAAGAATAAGTGCGTTACTTTGCCGTATGAGTGATACTAATAGTAATTGTGTTACTTAGCAATTTGATGGGTACTAAGAGTGAAGGCGTTACCTAGCCTTATAAATAATACTATAGCAAGTGCGTTACTCAGCTATATGAGTGGGACAAACAGTAAGGGCGTTACTTGGCCATATGAGTGGTATCAAGAGTATGTGCGTTACTTTGCCGTATGAGTGGTACAAAAAGTAAGTGAGTTGCTTAGCCATATGAGTGGTACCTGCGTTACATAGCCAAATGAGTTGTACTAAGAGTAAGTGCGTTACTTAGTCATATGAGTGGTACTACGAGTGAGTGCGTTACTTTGCGATATGAGTGGTACTAATAGTAAGGGAGTTACTTAGCCATGGTACTGAGAGTAAGGGTGGTAGTTAGCCATATGACTGGTACTAAGAGTTAGTGCGTTTCTTAGCAATATGAGTGGTTCTAAGAGTAAGGGAGTTACTTAGTTTTATGAGTGGTACTGAGAGTAAGTGAGTTACTTGCTGTATGAGTGGTACTAATAGGAAGTGCATTACTTAGGCATACGAGTGGTACTAAGAGTAAGTGTGTTACTTAGTGATATTAGTGGTACTAACAGTAAGTGTGTTACTTAGCCATATGAGTGGTACTAAGAGAAAGTGCGTCACTTAGTCATATGAGTGGTACTAAGAGTAAGTGCGTTACTTAGCCATATGAGTGAGACTAAGAGTAAGGGGTACTAAGAGCAATGGGAGTAACTTAGCCATATGACTGGTACTATTTGTAAGTGCGTTACTTAGCCATATAAGTGGTCTAAGAGTAACTGTGTGACTTAGCCATTGAGTGATACTTGTCAGAATGTTTTAGTCCTTGCATTTGTGTAGGCTATAGTGGGGTAGCCCATAAGGGGTACAACCCAATTAGGGTTAGTACTTGTACCCAACACTTTCATAGTTCATTCATTCTCGTTGAATAGTTCGACATGGTTTCAGAGCAGGTCCTTCGCTAGGACCGGGTTTTTTTCCTTGGGCCCACCACAGCGCTGCCCCACTAGCAGCCCCTAGCGACCCTCGTGCCGCACCTCCTGCCTTGCGCGCTGCCCTTGTGCGGTCCTCCTTTCGACCCTAGGCCCCGGCCCGTCGCTCGTAGCCCCTAGGCCCGCGCCCGTCGCCCCTAGCCCTGGCCCGTCGCGCCCCGTCGACCCCTGGCCCCACGCGCCCCATCGACCCTAGCCCCGGCCCGCCCCGTCGACCCTAGGCCCCGGTGCCCCGTCGATCCTAGGCCTCAGCCCGTCCCGTCGACCCTAAAGCCCCGGCGCCCCATCGACCCTAGGCCCCGGCCCGCGCCCCGTCGACCCTAGCCCCGGCCGCCCCGTCGACCCTAGCCCCCGGCCGCCCCGTCGACCCTAGGCCCCGGCGCCCCGTCGACCCTAGGCCCCGGCCCGCGCCCAGTCGACCCTAGCCCGGGCCCGCCCCGTCGACCCTAGGCACCGGCGCCCAGTCGACCCTTGGCCCCGGCCCGCGCCCCGTCGACCCTAGCCCCGGCCGCCCCGTCGACCCTAGGCCCCGGCGCTCGTCGACCCTAGGCCCTGGCCCGCGCCCCGTCGAGCCTAGCCCCGGCCCGCCCTGTCGACTCTAGGCCCCGGCGCCTAGTCGACCCTAGGCCCCGGCCCGCGCCCGTTGCCCCTAGGCCCCGGCCAGCCCGTCGACCCAAGGCCCCGCGCGCCGCCGCTTGCGGCCCGCCCCTTCGCCCCTGCAGCCCGCGAGCTGCCCTTGCAGCCCCGCGCGCCGCCTTTGGTGGCCCCCTAGCCGCCCCTGCTGCCCTGCTAGCCACCCCTAGGCCCTCCAACCGCCTCTCTGCTGCCTGTCTCGTTCCCTGCGCTGCCGGCTTCTGCCCGCCCTGCGTGCTGCGCCACTATGGCCTCTCTCCACGTTCTAGCATTCGATCATGAGGGCCGCCCGATCTAGTTTGACATGTGGCTTGACGAACTGCATCTGTACCTACTGGGTGATTCTAGGGACAGAATTTCACTATTTGACCACATGTCTGGTGCTGCTCCCGCCCCTCCCGCCACAACTGATAGTGCGACTCGCTTACAGTGGCTTACTCGTAACGCTGCTGCTCGCTTAGCCATTCGCAACCATGTGCCGTTAGCCGAATGCGCTCACTTCAGACAGCACAGAACAGCACAAGCATTGTACGACGCAGTAGTCGCCCGTAACTCCTCGCTTGCCACTGCTGCTCTAGGCCGTCTTCTACTGCCCTACCTGGTTCCCAAGCTGTCCCCCTTTGCCACGGTAGAGGACCTGGTTTCCCACCTTCGCACTAGCGACGCTCGCTACCGTGCTGCCGTCCCAGCTGAGTTCCTTGACAGGAACAAGCCCCCGATGTTCATCACTCTTTACTTTATAGTCACCCGCCTCCCTGACTCTCTTCGCTCTGTCAGGGACCACTTTCTCTCCCTTGACCCCACAGTCCTCACTGTTGACCTCCTCGAGCAGCACCTCCTTACAGCTGAGACTAGTGTAGTCGCTGTAGGTGCTGCTCGTGGCACTCCGCGCACGCCCTCCTTTGAGGGGTGCTCCCCCTCCCCCCTTGCCCCCTCCTACGCCTCTGCTGCTGCTGTTGACGTCCCTGTTGCTGAGGACGTTGGGGCTGCTTCTGCTAGTGGGAAGAGCCGCAGCAGCAAGGGCAAGGGTGGCAGGGGGTGGTGGTGGTGGCAGCGGGGGTGGTGCTGGGGGCAGCAGTGGAGGTGGTGGAGGCAGTGGAGGAGGTGGCAGTAGTGGGAGTGGTGGCGGGAATGGGGGCTTTGGTGGAGTCGGCGGTGGCAGCGGTGGGGGTGGCGGTAGTGGCGGCAGTGGGAGTGGTGGCGGTAGGGCTAGAGCTACTCAGCGTGGAGGTTTGGGAGGTGGCCAGCGGCAGCAGCAGCAGCGTCGGAGCAAGACCCCGAAACCTCAACAGCTTTGTGAGTGGTTTGTTAACCCTGGAGCTGGAGGTGCTGGAGGCACTGTGCGGCCGCGACCGTACTTCGTTCCCCTGCTTCAGCAGGTTCTTGGTGTCCCGTCTTCTACTGGCCTTACTCCTCCCTTACTGTGTCCACCGCCTTACAAGTCGCAGCCGCCGTTACAGCCAGCCTCCCCACTGCCTGCTCCTTCTCCTTACACAGAGCAGACCGGTGGTCTTACAGAGCGTCGTGAGCCTGCGTCTTGTCCTGCCTCCCCTGTTCACACTGGTCGTCGCGTTCCTCATCCGCGTCCCCCTCCTGTCCCCGGCAGACACGCTATGGCACTTCGTCCTTCCTCTGTTCCACAGCGTGTTCCTCTACCGCCTCCTCCGGAGTCCTCTCTTCCTGCCGTCCCTGACCTTGAGTCTGACCGTGCTCATGATGCGAGTCCCACTGTCTCTCGTCTCCTCACCACTGTTGTCACTGACCCTTTCTTTGACTCCATTGCTGCGTCTGCCCTCGTTGTTGAGCTGGTTGACTTTGCTGCTGCCTATCGTCTAGAATACGCCACTGCTCTTGTTGCTGAGTCTCAGTCTGCCAGTCCTCCATCCGTCGGGGGTGAGTGTGCTCTTGGCACGGACGTCCTTCAGGACAGGCAGGAGGACTTTGAGTGACTTGCAGTTGCTGTACCTCGTTTCGCTTCCATGCTGCTTGCCCCTAAGGGAGACCCGGATGCACCAGACATCCCGACCCCGCGCTCTTACGCAGAGGCGATTACGGGTCCGTACTCTTCTCAGTGGCAGGCAGCCATGGATGCTGAGATGGCATCCTGGAAGTCCACAGGCACCTACGTCGACGCAGTTCCCCCGTCTGGGGTGAACATAGTCGATGGCATGTGGATTTTCAGGGTGAAGCGGCCGTCGGGTTCTCCGCCTGCCTTCAAGGCACGTTACGTTGCTAGAGGCTTCAGTCAGCGACACGGGGTCGACTACTTCCAGACCTTCTCCCCCACCCTGAAGATGATTACTGTTCGGGTGTTGCTGCACGTCGCTGCTCAGCGTGACTACGAGTTACACTCTCTGAACTTCAGTACAGCTTTCTTGCAGGGCAGCTTGCACGAAGAGATCTGGCTGCGCCGCCCACCTGGCTTCACTGGCTCGTCTCCTGCAGGTACCCAGTGGAGCCTCCGCCGGCCAGTCTACGGTATCCGCCAGGCGCCTCGCGAGTGGCACGACACACTGAGGACTTCACTTGCGGCTCTGGGGTTTACTCGTTCTGCTGCTGACCCGTCGCTGTTTCTCCGCACTGACACATCGCTGCCGCCGTTCTACGTCCTCGTCTACGTCGACGACCTCATCTTTGCCACTGCTGACACTAAGGCATTGACCCTTCTGAAGTCGAAGCTGCAGAAGAGACACACCTGCACTGACCTGGGTGAAGTGCGCAGCTATCCTGGCTTGCAGATCACCTACGCCAGTGCACGGCGCACCATCACACTGACTCAGTCACACATGGTGCACCAAGTCCTTCAGCGCTTCGGCTTCCAGTTCTCCTCACCATAGCCCACTCCTCTGTCTACCGGTCACTCGCTCTCAGCTCCACCTTCGGACGAGTCCGTAGAGCCGAGTGGTCCGTACCCAGAGCTTGTCGGCTGCCTCATGTACCTGATGACGTGCACACGACCTGACCTCACGTATCCTCTCAGCCTCCTGGCTCGCTACGTGGCTCCCGGTAGGCACCGAAAGGTGCACAGGGATGCTGCGAAGAGGGTACTGCATTACTTCTGCAGTACGTCGGGCATGGGGCTAGTGCTTGGAGGACGGGGTCCAGTTGTCCTCTTTGGTCATGCAGACGCTTCTTGGGTTGACGACTCAGCTACGCAGTGGTCGTCACAGGGTTACACCTTCAGCCTCGGTTCCGGCTCTGTTTCCTGGCGGTCTACCCGCTCGTCTTTGGTTCTCAACTCAATCTGTGAGGCTGAGATCTACGCCGGGGCCATGGCTACACAGGAGCTACGCTGACTCACCTACCTGCTGACTGACTTGGGAGAGCAGCCTTGTTTGACTCCAGTTTTGTACGTAGACAACAAGGCCATGATTGCCTTGTGTCAGGAGCACAGACTGGAGCACAGAACGAAGCACATTGCTCTGCGATACTTCCTTGCTCGAGAGTTGCAGCAGCGTGGCCAGCTTCGTCTTCCGTACATGGCCACTAGGACCAACACTACTGATATGTTCACCAACGCTTGGTGATCATCAGCGCTTCTCTACTGTGTTAGACCTTGTGCCTACTTTGCCTCACTTGCTCACTGCACGACCTTGCTTGTACTATGATCTATATATATACCTGCATGTTTACACTTGCTCGGGTATGATCACTGTATTGTTTTGTCCTCTTTTATATGACTCTGCATGTGAAGTGGCCTTGTGGCCCTTTGCTTGTGCTCGGACTGTGTGGTGACTTTGTGATCCACCCTGAGCTTGTTTTGCTTTTCTAGACTGGTCTTGTGACCACTTGTTCTCCCCCACTTTGCCTATAGGGGTGTGTCAGAATGTTATAGTGCTTACATTTGTGTAGGCTATAGTGGGGTAGCCCATAAGGGGTACAACTTAATAAGGGTTAGTACTAGTTAGTTAATTCATTCATAGTTCATTCATTCTCGTTTGTTAGTTTGACAACACTAAGAGTAAGTGCGTTGCTGCGATATGAGTGGTACTACAAGTTAGTGCGTCACTTAGCAATATGAGTAGTACAATGAGTAAGGGCGTTACTTAGCCATATGAGTGGTATTCATGGTAAGGGTGTTGCTTAGCCATGTGAGTAGTACTAAGAGTAAGTGCGTTACTCGGCCATATAAGTTACGCACTTGCTCTTAGTACCACTCATTCGGCAAATAACGTCCTTACTCTTAGTACCACTCATATGGCTAAGTAATGTTGGTGTAAGGGCCTAATAAACTCAGGCTATTAAGACGTTATCCAATTTAAAACCTCTCCTCAGGGTCACCTCCAAGGGTCCCTGGGTGCTTGTTACAAGACCAGCCCCTATCCTCGGGTCCAAGTTTGTAGAGAGAGGGATCAAGAGGGACTTAGTCAAAACAGCAAGAGTACCTTGAACGTCGCGCAGCGTGCCGTGCAGACCGTCGATCAGATTAAGCTGAGAACTTATTAAGCTCACTCTAAGAGCTTTCAAAAGAGCCAGTTGCCTCGCGAAAAGCTTTGCCATTGTAGAGTTACGAAATGGACAGCGTTGGCCTAGCGTCGTAGTGCTAGCGTACTAGTGTTGACTCGGTAGCATTCTGCCATCGCACCGCGTAGAAATGAAATTCCAGCAAGGAAGGAATTCGCTTGAATCAATTTGAATATATTCAGGTGCAAACAGAGACGGAATATATAGTTCTAGCTAGCAAGGACCTTGGGAATCAACCTGGGAACAACCAGGGATAATCCCAATTCATTCCAAGCAACAAAACCAACCTGGCTGGACAAAACAGCAGGTGGTAGGTTGGTAAACAACCTCTGGTTCTGTTTTTCCAACCTGGAAAAACAACAACCAGGTTCAGGTCCTAAAAACAGAACCTGTTTTGTCTTTGCCCAACCAGCCAAATGCTGGTTCTGCTGGTTTCCCCTGGCCCTGTAGCATGCAGATACAGACAAACAACATCCAACCCTCACCAAAATTGTACCCCACTAGTGCCTGCCCTGCTACACTATAGTCAACCAAACAAAACAGTACAATTTCGAGTTGGATAGAACTGAATCTGCGCAATCAATTCAACCGAACTGCAAAGCTTCCATCTTGGGTTCCCTTGCGAGCTCGTCCTTTCTGCTTGCACTGTTCATAGCGCGTACAATGTTGTGCCGAAGCGCACATTGCGCGAGTACCTGCAAATGCTTCAAGCAAAAATTGTGAAAGCAAACAATCACACGAACATTCCACTCACACCCAAATGCAT